GTTTCCGGCCTGGGGAAGCCCCACACTAGACATCACCCCTCAATCCTTCGGCGTGTCCGGATCGTGAAAGCGCCCAAGTACCTCATTCTGTCCCTTTCGACGACTTTCCAAGCTAAGGCAGCCCTTCATTTTTCCAGTTTGCTCTCAATCAGCAAGGTTTCACCTTTTTGGAGAACCTTTGAACCTCATCTGGCCATATCCGTGCCTTCGTCGATAACACCTCCCTATACCACCATTCTCAGTTGAACTACCAATCTCTGCAAAATGGCCCGCATCCTGATCACTGGTTCCACCGATGGCTTCGGCCTTGAGGCTGCGCGTCAGCTCGTTGAGCGCAAACACACCGTCTACCTTCATGCGCGAAGCCAAGAGCGCGCAGAGGACGTCAAGACCAAATGCCCCGGAGCTGCTGGCGTGCTGGTTGCGGACTTGACAAGTGTGGCCGAGACGCGCAAATTGGCCGAGGAAGCCAACGAGCTCGGCACCTTCGATGCTATTATTCTTAACGCCGGACTGCTTTACGGCCCCTTCCGCAAGACAGAGTCTGGCGTGCCAGCTATGCCTTTCGTGAATGTTCTTGCTCCCTATATTCTCGCTTGTCTCCTGAAACAACCTAAGCGTCTAATCTTCATCGGTTCTATCCTCCACCGGGAAGCCAACACAAACCTGAAGGATATCTTCTGGTTAGAGCGCGGGGAGAAGGAGTTCCAGGACTTCCCGGCCTACTGCGACTCGAAGCTCCATGTTATGCTTCTTGCGAATGCGGTAGCAAAGCGGTTCAAGGGAACTTCTGTCACTTCTGTCCACCCTGGATATGTTGCTACTAAGCTTGGAGGTTCTGGCGCTACCGATAAGCTGGAGGATGGTGTTGAGACATATGTTATGCTGGCCGAGGGTGACTACGATCAGAGTCTCACCGGTGTATACTTTGTACCCAAAAGGCAGATCGGTGAGCCTCTTGCAGAGACAACGCACGAGGATCTCCAGGAGGTCGTCGTCAAGGCCTGCGAGGATGTCACCGGTATTAAGCTAGGAGCTTAAGTCGGCCCCGTTCATTGGGTTACATAGCTTCAATATATGAAAGGGCGGTGTCCTTTGTAACAAATACTTGAGATTACATTGATGGAAGGCTGAAGACTTGTAACAGGACACAAAGTAGCGTTGTATCGAAATATCTCGGTCATGATCAGTTAGCTGATAATACGGTAACTCTAAAACTGACGCAGCTCTCTTTGTAGTATGAACATCGAGAAATAAATGCCATGATGAAACCTTGTAACTACATCTTCGGATTTACCTAAACTGAAGACCTTAAAATTGACACCAGCAGCAATACCACCGACACAAAATATGGCACTAAAAGCTCCTCTCTGGCCGTAAGTGGTAAATTGAGGAGATTCAACAGTACATGCTAATGGATAACTGGTTCTGCTATTTACGGCACGAAAACAAACGAAAGAAAACAAGTAAACTCCTGTAACACCAAGGAGATCTGGGAGCGGGTTATATCACAAGAGGAAATTGTATTGAACACTTTTCACCTTCATATTTAAGCAATCGGTCCGTAGAAGCTAAACATACCCTTAGGGTCATACTTCTTCTTCAAGCCCTGCAACTTGCTCTGTCTCCAGCTCTCACTGCCATACCACTGCTCAGGGCCCTCATCACCATTGGCATAGTTGACATATGCGGGGATATGCTCGCGTCCAGTGCCCTCGTGCAGAATCTGTCGGAGCTGGTTACCCAGCTTGGCGGCCTTCTCGTCCAGCTCGGGGCCGTCCGGCATGTAGGTGATCAATGGTGCGGTGAGGACATTCTGATCACGGAAGGCGAAGGCGGTGCTCTTGTCGTCGATGGCCCTCACACCTTGCGTGGAGTATCCATCAAAGGTAAACAAGGAACCATTGAAGATGGAGTCGCCGCGGATAGCCTCGGAGAAGACCTCGAAGGCTTTCTTCTGCGCATCGACGTTGTATGTCTCAAGGTAAATGGGAAACCGCGGGTTCATGGCCCCGGTCTTCTGGCAGGGCCCGTCAGTAGTGGTGATGCCGACCCATTTTGCGAGGTCGGTGTAGCTGCCGCTGTGGGCTTCCTTAGTAATGGGGCTCAGGGAATGGAAGGGAGTAGTGTAGGCAGAGTCGACGGCCTTGACACCTTCTTGGATAATGAGAATTTGGATGACAGGCTGCAGATAATCATTAGACACTGGCACGGAAGAAATAGTAAGGGAAGGGGTAGACTCACGTTGTTAGCATCCGCAGAAGGGATGTTAACCCAGTAGGACCAGTTGATGAGATCGGTGGGCTGGGTGCCGTTCTTGAGGAGATACGTGTTGACAGCCTCGTAGAGCTCCGCGACCTTTGAGCCACTGAAGGTGAGGATCTCAATGGCCCAATCCTTGTGCTCGATGCCATAGGTCTTAGAGGTGACAGACGTGACGATGCCGAAGTTGTGGCCGGCACCCTTGATGGCCCACCAGAGGTCCGAGCTGGAGTCGATAGTGGCAAGAGTGCCGTTGGCAAGCACGATGTTCGCAGACTCAAACTGGTCACCAATAGTACCGTGGCGGCCTTGAAGCCAGCCGTGGCCGCCACCCAAGGCGGGGCCAATGTAGCCGACACATTCGCAGGCACCAGTGACTAGTTAGGATTGAATTAGCATCCCCTGGGTTGTGCCGCCTTTATGCGTTCATAGTTTAGACCTACCAGTCTGCTTTCCAGCAGCCCACAGGGTGTCAGTTACCAGCTTAGACTTGGTTCCACCAGCAATGGTAACAGTCTTGCCATCATCGGCGATCTTGACACCACTGAGCTGGTCCAAGTAGATCTCGATTCCGCCGTCCATTTGTCCCAGGGTGGTGATGGCACCATGGGCACTATTCCAAGCCAGGAAAGGCAATCCCTTCTTGTTAGCGAATTTCACCTATACAGTGATATTAGCGGACTGTTATTTTGTCACCCGGATGCGTTGGTAGGACCAAGATGCGTTGGCCATGTGCCCGTGAGTAAAATAATGCAGTTGAAAAAGAGAAAGAGAGAGAGATAACCAAGGTATAGAAACTTACTGTCTCGACGACATCGTTCTCAGTGCCAGGAACGATGACGATGTTCACGGTGGGGACTTCCAAATTGGACCACCGAGTGTTAGCCCGCTCGAACTCATCCGAGCCAGGATAGTAAGCCTTAGCAGAGGGGGAAAGCTTCTCGCTGAGCTCTTTATAGTCGGTATCGCGAGACCAAATGGTTCGAGTGCCAGGCAGGCTCTGACTGGCGGAGACAACAGCCCATGCGGCCACGGCGGTGACGGCTTGCAAACGCATTTTGACTCAAGAGAAAGTTTATGTCACTGGATGCTCACAGGCAGGAAGAAAAGAGGCGAAAGGATGAGCTTAGACTAAAGACTTGCGCACAACTAGCCGCCGCAGCTGAGTCCCTATCTACCGCAAGAGAGAGTTGCTGGGAGAGAAAAGTGACGGATTCGAAGTCCTCCGTACGTGAAGTGGCGATCTTATGTATGATTTTCTGGAGGTTAGCTGATGTCCCAGTTTCCGCGTTGCCCGTCCACTGTCTCAGAAGACGTCAGCCCTAGTGCAAGCTAGGCTTTGCGCTGGTGTATAGTTCAGTGACCGTGTGCTTATGGCGTATCTTCTAATTGAACTTGGCCCCGATTCACTTTTGGCCCCTACATATGGAGTCTAACTGGATGAATCCGGCAAGTGCCTAGCTAACTCTGGTATGACGGAAACGCAGCGGCCTACGTTGTCTGTCGACAGTACGGTGTACGGGAAATTAGGGTCCACAGGTGGGTGATAGGCGAAGCAACTTGGGCAAGGCGGCTGAGTGGCTCAGTGTACTCGTCCCAGGCTTACTTTGGTCGATCGTAAAGGAACGATGCGGAAAATAGGTCGGATATACTTGAGGAAAGTTCCGGGATGCCCAAAAGGATCGGCTTATATGATTCTTTAAACGTTAATAGAATCTAGAAGCCGTAAATTCCCTACATCCCTAATCCCAATGGATTCCTAATAAATGTATCTCAAAATAAAGGATCTAAATAGAGAACATGGCGTGTTAGAGGTGATAATGGTTGGAATGATGTCGAGTATTCCGGAACTTTTTTAGCTCACCCGGCAGCCAACTCCTGCGTGCACGCCACACGCCGGTGACGAACGCAAAAGTTTAAGTTTAGGCCCCCAAAATCAAGGGGTTGACCAATCATGGTTTTGTACGAAAATGTTGACGCTGTTATTGAGCAGGGGCACAGGAATATTATGCAGAAACCCACAAGCAGTGCAAATTGCAGAGTGAAATCTCTGCAGATACAAATGCATTGTGAATGTTTGGCTCAGCTCGATGTTGAGGGATCTGGTAGTTATATGCCAAGCCAACCCGAGAAGTCGACTCTTCGAGCCTGGAACCGGAATGAGTTCAGCCTCAATAATTAGTCCCGAGGCCATGTGCTTGCTAGGTTCTTGTGCATGTACTTTTCAACTGCATTATCCCTGCCATATCTCACCACGTTTCCTCTTCGCCTGCAAGGCCTTCTTTCTATCCTTCGGCTTACCCGCCCCACCGAGATCCTGCATCAGCAGGTAATCTTCCAAGGTTGGAAGCATACAAGTGTATTGTAATCAATCACATGTATTAAACTAGGCTATTTATGGTAGACTCCACGGAGTAGTGGGGGCGTATAATTACCTGGAAATGGGTGGCGAAAATCCCGTCAGGGCGCTCCCGCATGATATTAATTAAGTAATCGTGCCAAGCCCACCACAACCACCCGTGAACCTACCCGATGGTGATGGATGGAATCGAGCATATTACGATGCCCAGCCTAAACTCAGCTTGACTCTGAGATTGTCAGATCACATAATCCGCTGTTCTTCAGCCCTTGGCCCTGCTCTGTTTACCCATTCTCCAGTTTAGGAAATACAGTTGTTCGTCCTTCCTACTCCCACTTCCTCGTCAGATATACGGTTCATCAACCCAGATATAGGCTCAATGAGCAAGCTAAAGATCGCTGTTCTAATCAACACCCCACCAGATGGCACAGACTTCCAGTCAGTGGTGCAAGAGTGCTTCAAAGAAGCCTTCGCATCGATTGCTCCGACAGCGGAGATCAATTTTTACGACCCTGTCGTGGAGCGCAAGTTTCCTGATGCGTCAAAATACAACCTAGTAGTTCTGAGTGGTGGCAAGATAGATGCCGCCTGCTCGGAGCCCTGGGTTTTGGAGGTATTGGATTATGTTCGTATCACTGCGCGAGATGTTCCTAAGACCAAGATACTTGGTATTTGCTGGGGGCATCAAGCAGTATCCAGGGCATTCGGTGGTCAGGTTCGAGCTGTTCCCACTGGAGAAATTGTACGTGGATAATCAAAATGTTTGTCGGACCGATTCTGATCTAAATAGACTGCGATCGAAGATATTCGCCTCACAGAGGCCGGCAAGAAGTTCTTTCCATTTGCCATGTCCTCCGGATCCTACGTATGCCCTGTCCACATCCATGACTTTGACTTGAACTTTTAGTACTAACCATTTAGTAGAGAGCAATAGAGCTTCACAGCGGCGAGGTTGACACCCCGCCACCCAGCTTCATTTCCCTCGCTGTGAATCAAGAGTGCTTCGTCAACGATGCAAACAATGTTCTCACATTCCAAGCGCATCCCGAAATTTCTCATGAGCTGGCTAGGAAGATAATATTAGAAGAAGACAAGAAACATAACAGAAATTCCTCCGCAAAGGAATTGGGAATAGACCAGCCCACTGAGGGGCTCAAATTGCTCGAGAGAGTTTTGCAATGGCTGGCTGAATAGATTTCTAGTCTTGAAAAGGACCCTAGAATATTCAATGCTACAACTGAACACCGAATCAGCAGGGAACAGGTTTTTTAGGGAAAATGATTGGTCGGCATGCTAAATTACAAGTTCTTCAACCAAATGGAGAAACTTAAACACTATAACTAAATAATTCTTCTTGGTTGAATATCGGACAATAATAGTCGGCCGCATAAGCGGCCGTGTAGTCTTCTTGGTGGTCTCCTCAGGTAGTCTTCTCCAGTCTTTTTTGGTAGTCTCAGTTGGTCTGTTTAGATGTCTAGGTATATGTTGCATAGATATTTTCTGCCCCTTCTCAGTTTGTTGGGGAGCAGAAAAGGACCGAAAATGGCTTAATTAACCACTTCTATTTTCTGACTAGTGCGGCCCACTTTATATAGCCTTTGATTGGCCGTGAAACCAACAAATTTCCGCCAACTTCCGTTATTTATTACCGCTAACCCGCCACGGCCCGCGTCTCGGTACGGAACGAGAAGTTCCTTCCGGGCAATTAGGTTTCCGGAATTACGGCTAGCAAGATGCCGGTGATGGAGTGATCTCGGAGAATATTTCAGCCAACAGTTCTGACTGCACGACTTTCCAAACCTGCAAACAAAACAAACACAAGCTCACGTCTATTGCGCAGTAATTCTTGTCACCCCCACGTGACGCCAAAGCACCTCTCATCCTGAACTCACCCCCGCGATACCAGGAAACTGAGCAGCTCATAGGGTCGCAGGGTAAATGTATTAGTATCATAGGGAGTAGTATATCTAGGTAAGTAGTAGTAGTATAGCCATGTAGTACATGTAGTATAACTACATATATAGTCATGTTCACAAACCCGTTATCCTATCAATATGCACTGAGGTGAAGAAAATGACCCAGAGGGACACATGCAAGCAAAGCAATCATGAACTGCATGACTGTGCAACTTCTTTGCGAATTAGTGCCTACTATATACCTAGGTAAGAACATCAGTGCGTATATATATATGCTAGGAGCCACCGTTGTTCATGACTTATTTCTCCTTCTAAACCACCATCTTTTAGATTCATCCTCAATTTCAACTTAGCCATTCTCTATCTATCATAAGGTACAATTTCATTATCATGGTATCTCGGCTTCTAATACCCATTTTACTTACCCTCATGGGAGTAACACTACTTGCTCCTTCCAGGGTTGGACAAAGCCTTGGAGGGAAGTGATATTCGTGGGAGACATAAAATCTTGGACACTCCTCTGGATTCTCTTGACATATATCCCCACGAAAAAACTGGTCGCAAGTCAACTCTCTTCATACAGCTCCATCCTTTTTGACCATGGAGAATCAAAAGCGATGTAAGCAAATCATAGTTCTGGGGATCAAAGCCTCTTCGCCCTTTCACAGATCTAACCAAATCCAGTCACACCTCACCTTTTCACACACGCTGTGCTTCAAGAAATACCCAGCGTCCCCCGCGATACCTGTTTGACACTACCGTATTCGACCTACTGGTCTATCTTGAGGGACTCTTGCCATGTTTACGTATCTCGTATCATATTTGTCTTCACAAACAGGTGTTCCTCAAACGCATGGCGAGCTCCACCGAAGGAAAAAGTCTCATGGCCAAAGAAATACCAAAGAAACGCCCGTTTTCTAGCTAGGGACACTGCTCTGGACTTCTGCTCTTGGCGCCTTGCATTTGCTGTGTTTGTTGGGGTTCTCCTTCCTGGTCAATCCAGCCAATCCCCTTGGGTTCTCAGGCAAGTGTTCCACTGAGAAGGTTCTTTAGTCTGTCACTCAAAGGAAACGACACCCAAGCGAACAGCGAAGCGTCAAACACTAACAAGAAGAGTGTCTTCGCATGTGCTAATTCGTCCTCAAGTTATCAAACCAGCTGTTCCCATTGTCTCTGATGGATCCATTTCGCGGGGTATAGGTCTACGTGGTATGGCTATGACAGTTGTATCCTGGGTATGTTTCGAGCTCTGTCTATGGAGCTCATACACCCACCGCTAATCACGCACATCTTATCAAGCCCAACGATGGATTCCCTACGTGGCTGATCCAGGCAAGAAAAGAGCCTAAAAGAAGCGACAATGCTTGGAGGTATTTACAATTATTATAAGTTCAATTCCCATGCTTTGTTCCATGCTCATCTATGCATAATAAGTCTGCCCCTTCGGCCAAAATTTCCATCATCCAGCGGCCTTCCATTTGTTCATCTTCCCATGGCTTGGGCTTTGGCCATGGCGGTATCGAACAAGAGAATAAAAACCATCCGCATTCAGCTCCATATCCTCACGCGACAGAATCCGTCATTTATTTCCATTCATCGATAGTCGTCATTCAACCAGTCCGCGGGCCGAGGCAGGCTATGACAGCCGTGAAGACAAGGAGCAAACAGAGCAGGCAGATTCGAACTCTGGTCGGGCTGCCGGCCGACATGCAGGCTCCGACGGTGGCAATGACGAACCGGATACCGGTTCATGGGGAGCAAGGGATATTACAGGAATCGTCCCGGAGACTGGTGTGGATGCCGGAGGCTCCTCTGGGGGAATATTCACGGTATCATTGTTCGCAGCAACGGCGGATCGATGCGTTCGACCTTTATAAGTGGGTTTAATTCAGGACGCACTTGAATCCTACCAGCGTTGGTATAGCCCGGGTGCGGCCTTTGCTTGCCGTGCCTTAGCTGGTTATGCGCGCGTCATATGGAGTTTTCAAATCAGTTTCATGGTCGAACCCAGCATTTATCACCCCCGTTTTGCTTATATATCCTTGATCGGTGGAATGACCATGCCTGGATTCATGTCTCGTTATCTGTTGAGATTACAAGCCTCCCAAACCCATCTCTACGACATCCTCTATTGGTCATTTGGAGGACTCGGCAAATACGATCCAGCCAGGAAACGCCGTGAACCTACCACAAGCTCCAGTTGTCGCCTCCGCTTCCACAGCATTTACAGGGTAATCTAGTGAGACGGTATCCATGGCTCAGCCAAGTTGTGCTTTTCACTACATGATTGTGTAACTGGAGGACTGCCGTTACCTAGCCAGAGATTTTTCCTAGCTGTCTGTCCAGGCGCATCTGGTCCATGGATGCCTGACTATATATAACTGCTTCGCCATAATCATCCCTCGTCTTTGAATTCCTATCCTGAGCTTGTTCTTCTGCGGGCGCTGCTTATTCTGAGACTGTCCTGTGGGCGGCTATACAATAGAAATTAGCCAATTTGGAGAGAGATTTAGGACATCTGGTGACACCGAAATTTCCTTGGGAAGCGCACACACTTCAACATGCTTGCCAACGTTCAGACCATGCATCAGTCGACAGAACCCGTGAGTCTCAATGCCATGGCTAGAACAGTCCCTGAGAAATCATGGCTTCACATCAGTTTTCTTCCCGTTCTGCACGGTATCCATCCGAGCTTGAGGAAGTATAAGTGGGCTCCAGTCACTTTATTCTGCAACAAACTTGAACTTACCGGTGATTCGATATTGCTTTCCTGTCGCCGAGGATTGTAAATCAAGTTGGTGATATAGATACCAAAAGGCGCCTATTCCTGGCCTTCGGTTTCGGTTCCGTTCTGTTGCCTCAACAAAGGCGCGGCTCAAGGCAGACTTAACCTGGCCGTTCTTTGTCTCGAGGTTGGCTATCTTAGGCCTATTCTACACACCATAAAATGGTGCGGGAATGTCTCGAGCGCCGGGCTCTATCGAGCTCACGACACTGACTCTTCTCGTCAAAGTCCATATGGTGACTCTACGCAATATATAGATTGCGCTGCTTGTACACAGACAGGCCGAACCAAATCCTAGCCTGTTCCTTGATGCTAGTGTAACATAGAGGTTCTGGCGGAGAAGGGATCTACCATCGCCAGTCTTCGTCTCGAACTATCTATTCTGAACCTGTTTTATGGACAGCGATTCAATCTGGTTGGACTCAGTCAAGAGCCTGACCGTCGAGCTCATGACACTGACTCTCCTTGTCAAGCTCCACACTTCGGGCGCCGGTCGAACGATGACTTTGCTGCTTGTACTAAGGCTGGCCGAACCGACCGGTGGCTTCTTCTGGATGCTAGCACAGCATAGGGACACTTTTGAAGTCGTCCACTATGGCCATTATCCGTATCGTCCTCTCTCCCATAGGACCCCCTGGTTTTACCGGAAGCATTTTACCAACCAAGAGCCATGAGTAGTCCCGAAATAGCTTGGGGATCCGAGTGGAATCTAACCCTCTGGTTCTCCTATTCGTTGACAACCATGATCGCAGAGCATGCTAGTTCAGGCTAGCTACGTTGGACGAGGGCTCAATGCTGGTTGTTGAATTCAAGCCTATTTCATAGACGGCGACACATTGATCAGGGGAAATGCCGGAATTCAGAGTCAGTTCACGGCAAGCGTCACTGAGGCTTGTTCTCACAAACGGAGTCGAAACACCTGGGGAGGCCAAATTTTCTTTTTTACGATTGGCTAAGTGCTAGAATCTCGTTAATTGCTGTTTGATTTTCTAAATCTAAACGCAGATCGAGATACAACTCGTTCTAGCCAGATCTATGCCATGCTCCATTGCCCCTACCCAGGAGGTACCAAGGCCCATATTTACGTGACGAGCCCCGAGACGGTGACGATCAAAACCATGAGAGTGGTGGGAGAAAGTGTTCATGGGTAGTTCGGAAAGGCTCCAAAATCCGGGACCCAAACTTGTCTATTGGTCAAGTTGATGTCTGCCTCGCTACCCTCATGCGGCCAACATCATGAGTGTCCTCCAATAGTGTGTGGGACACCTCCGACATGCATCATTCGTTAACGAGAATCAACTGACGAATAAAGAGGATGAAATGCCTTCTTACTTGAACCGGTTTGTTTTTCCCTTTCCCGGACCCATGATACGTTTAGATGTTAACTAGGAAGAATGAATGGAGCAAGCCCAGTGTCGGTATATTGATTCACTCGGGCAATGTATTGGCCTCCATTATATAACCAAGTGAGTATCCCTATTTGATACTCCGCGTGTACAAACATTTCCTGACGTGGGCTAGCATTTCTTGATTAGGTGGTTGTTCCAAAGACGGGACTAAACACACCTACTCTCCTATCCCTGAACAAGCTGGTTGTTGGAGGATTGTCTCGTTGAGCAAGCCTGTGCATGGGGATATCCAGAGAACTGGAAGGGCGAGCGTCCACGGGTACTCGATTGTCTCACTAGATATAGGGAATCATCGCACCTTCCTCATGGCGCCTCTCTGCGGCAACTTGCAAGAAGGAAAGAGCTTTTTACCGCATGATGCGACCATTCATAAAAGGGGGTGGAAAGCTCCAATAAAGTGGTATTTCCAACAAAACCATTTTCGTTCCTTCAAATGGGTCCATCTCGCTTCGCCTTCCTGTCTCTCGAGCTTATAACCCACCCACCTTGCCGCTGAAGATATCCGTTGCAACAATCATGAATTTGGGCAGTTGCTCGCCAATTTTGACCAGGGCTCCCAGGCCATGAGATAGCTAGTGCGATGGGTCCGTCCTGTGCTAGAAGCTGGTCAAAAATTCTGGACAATCCGATCCCCAACAAACTCTACAACTGGAAGACGCTAGGAAAGAACAACTACGGAAAAAGAAGCGTTCTGCCTTCAACCGTCCTAGAGGCCAAATTATAAGGTCATCCAGAGAGCGTTTTACAAATGTTTAACTTCCAGCCTCCGTTTGTTCCTAGGAAGCTCAAGCTTGCCGGATCTGCAGACCTAACGAAGCAGAATTTATAGCAGCTAGTTGTTGGGAAGGGTTTACAACATCGAGCGT